AAAAGCTCGCGCGCGCGCGCCAGCGCCTGAGCAAAAGAGACGAAAGTAGCAGAGGCTAAACACAGAGAAGGCCAGGAATCGAGAGAGGGCAGAGAGAAAGAGACGAAATGGATGAAGGCTGAACGCGAACAGGCCAGCGCTGCAACGGATGGATCGGTGTATTTCTGAGGAGGGGAGGGACCAGTGGGTGGAGGAGGCGGCGAGGCTTCTTTCACGTCAGGATAGTGAGCGATCGACCAAATCGCAGGTGAGTGGCTGCGACCGCGTACAATTTATTTATATAAACGCCGAGTCACCCGATTATTAATGAGAACTGCCGCCTTCTTCTGTCAGCAGAGACTGACGAGTTCCCTCTCGCCGTCCTTGCCGGTGACGCCGGTCCCCTGTGCCCTGTAAACTCCTCGGCCGACTGTCGATTGATCGATATTCTACCGCTGGAATGAGCTATCTCTCCGAGGAATCGTCTTTTTTTTTCTTCTTCCGCGTCAAAGCTATCAATTTTGTATCGCTTTGCTCTTAATTGAAAAACCTCGAACAATTATGTTGCAGTCAGAAAGAACGCTTAACAATTCTGATTGACGTCTTCTTTGTAGCGTATGTTTTAAGCATACCGATGCTTAGATACATTATCACAAATCAGCGAAGATATTCGCTCCTCGATTCTAAAACTATCAGGAGAATGGCTATGGATTTAGCATTGCTTCTACGCGCGATTGGAGAACCTCGAACAATTATGTTGCAGTCGGAAAGAACGCTTAACAATTCCGATCGATATCTCTTTCTCAATGTACGTTTCAATTATATGGAAGCTACCACCGATTACCACAAATCAGCGAAAACGTCCAGCTCTGGTTTCACAAGTGTCGATAAGCAGCAACTTGTACAATTTGTATACTTGGAGTAAATCCAAACTCAGATATCGCTAGACCGTGACTATTTATACATTTACGAGACAGTTGAAAATGAAAAGAAAAATGCACGTATGCAGATGTAAAATATAGAAAACGTAGTACTCTTTATAGAATTTTGCAACTGAAACGAATCTCTGCTTTGGATCTATCTCGCTAATTGCATTCACAAAAATATGAATTTGCAATTGCGAATATTCGCGGTCTGGTTACAACGTATCGGCCAAGGTACGCGAACGCTTATTGTATCGTACGTGCTACTAAGGGTTGGAAAAAGTCTCGTTTCATCGAGCCGTCATCAGTCCCAGTCGCGTGTCAACCCTTTCACGCTGGATGCTTCTAATCGGTCGGAAATCAACAAAACGCCAGGTAAGTTACAGAAGATCCATCGTGAAAAATTCAATGTGCCACCCGCGTACCCTTCTCCTTTTTTCACTGCGTGCAGCCGCTTTATTGCTCGGTAGACTGTATCCTTCGTGTAAAATGTGGCACACCTGCACCTGGCTGCTCCCTAGCCATTGACGAGTTAAAATATAAAGATCCCCGAGGACGTACCGAAACCGAACCAGCTGAGTTTTGACTGCCGCAATCCATGAGGAAACTCTCGACGGGAGGGCGAAGACGAGATCCCGTTCTCTAAGTTTTCCTTCTTCTGAAAACGACTCGACCGCCTAATGTGTCCCTTGGGAAACCACCAGGAATTTTTGGCAAAAACAAGGCGTGGATGCACTTCAGACCCACGTTCTCCATTAATCAATTCACCGCTGCCACGAGCTTCCTCCGTCTTTTTCGCACCGTGAGAAGTCGAAACGAAGCACGTGATATTTTAATGCGTCGTCTTCTGGTTCGTTTCATTCGACGGAGAATCTCCGTGGAGTTCTCGAAGATGTATCTTGCGAGATTCCTCGCAGATTGTACAACCGCAGGCCAAAAGATGACACGAGAGAATTTCTGTCGTGTAACGTCCGGAATCGATTACCTCGATGACTACGTGAACGCGGTCGAATTTGCGAAACCTTGTGGATCCAGACGAAGAAAACGTAGACCAGAATTTACTCGTAAAACCGACAATGTTACGCGTGATCAAGTTTCGCATATTTGTCTTCGACAAAAAGTAGAGTACTCGCAGTACCTTTTAATAGTGAAACACAGTGAAACAAACCTCTATGCAGATTTCGTTTTCCGGTATCCGAAAAAATATAAATTT